CTCTCTCTCTCTCTCTCTCTCTCTCTCTCTGCCCCTCCCGCATTTGCACTCTGTCTCTCTTTCTCAAAAATAAACATTAAAAAAAATTAAAGGAACAGTCATTTAATTTTTATACATTTATGTGTATGTGTGTGTATATGTGTGTGTGTATATATATATATATAGAGAGAGAGAGAGAGAGAGAGAAAGAAAGAGGGCCTGTGTGAGCAAGGGAGGGACAGAGGGAATCCCAAGCAGGCTCCACACCATCAGCACAGAGCCCACCACAGGGCTCGAACTCACAAACCGTGCAATCGTGACCTGAGCCGAAACCAAGAGTCGGCTGCCCAGCTTATGGAGCCACCCAGGCAGGCGCCCCGAAGAAACAATCATTGAAAAGCTAGTTAGGTGTTCAGTTGTGTGTAGGGTAATTGATCCAGCTACTAGGATTTGTTTTTCTTTTGTTTTGCTTTTTTTAGAGAGAGAACGGGAGAGGGGCCGAGGGAGAGAGAATCTTGAGCAGGCCCCACATTCAGCGCAGAGCCCGACGTAAGGCTCAGTCCCGCAACCATGAGACCATAACCTGAGCCGCAATCAAGAGTTGGACGCTTAACTAACTGAGCCACCCAGCCGCCCCCAATTACTAGGGTTTTTGGGGTTGTTTTTTGTTTTTTGTTTTTTTTTAATTAAACTATATAGCTCAGGTAGAGCAGTTGGGGGGATATAGGGCAAGTCTCGTTGACCACGTGACATTTCACCTGGTTCTCTTGCAGGCCACGGCTGGTTTCTGTTTTCTTTTCTCTGCTGCTTACAAGTCAAAAAGCCTTTAAAAAGTTAACACTGTGTTGGGAAAGCCTTATCCTGACTTATAAACTTAGAAAAATTGGTCCATGATAGGAAAGCTGAGGATGGTGCGTAAAGAGAAAGAGGAGCGGACTGACAAAAATTGCCCCCGGTCCCTGGTGTCTTACGGATGTCATGTCCCCTGCTCCGCGGTCCTGTGCGGTCACATGTGCAGACACGTGTGTTTATCAGACACTTGGGGCTGGGGAACGAGAAGCAGCTTCTTGCAGGTGCATCTTCTCGAAACACTTTCTCCGTAGAAACCAAAAGAGATCTGACTGCTGAAGGAAGAACTCCGCGTTTCACTTTCTGATGAACATACCGGTGATCTTGTGGGAAGATTGGACGCAGCCTGTTAGAAAAAGCCCAGCTCTTAGGCTGCGTTTTCAGCGATCTCTTGTGGGGGCTTGGCCGTGTCCTTAAGCGACACCTGTGAGCTAGCGGCACACCGCGTACGACTCTGTCCGTGCGTTTTCGTTTTCATTGCAAACACAACGTGCTGGTTTTTCTTCTCCAGAAGTGTACTCGACCAGCAGCGCTTTTGCAGTTCGGACCGTTTGGCAAAGTCTGGAGACGTTTTTGATCGTCAGAACCATGGCGGGTGGGAGCTGGTGCTGGCATCTAGCGGGTGGAGGCCAGAGAGGACACTCAGCAGCCTCCGGTGCACAGCACGGCCCCATAACAGAATCCTCTGGCTCCACATATCTAAAATGCTGACATTGAGAGCCTGATGATTAGATTTTGCTGCTTTCTTTTTTTTTGGGGGGGGGGGAGGGCAGAGAGAGAGAGAAAGAGAGCAAGAGAGAAAGAATGTTAAGCAGCCTCCACGCTGGGTGTGGATCCCCGATACAGGACTCAAGACCTCACGCCTGTGGGATGGTGACCTGAGCCAAAATTGAGGCTTGGGTGCTCAACTAACCGAGCCACCCAGGCACCCCAGATTTTACTTATTTCTAAGCACCCAACGTGACAGAATAAACAACGGCGTGACTCGGGGTGGTGTCTGAGTCATTTCACGCTGCTGTGGCAACATACAACAGATGGGGCAGCTTAAACGTCACGTTTATTTCTCGCAGCTCTGGGAGCTAGAAGTCTGAGATCCAAGCACTGGCAGATTTGGGATCGGGTGAGGACCCACTTCCTGTTTCCTCCATGACGTCTACTCATTGTGTCCTCACCTGGCAGAAGGATGAGAGCTCTCTGGGGGTCTCTAACATATAAGGGCGCTAATCCCATTCGTGGGGGCCCCACCCTCATGACCTAATCACCTGCCAATGGCCCCACCTTTGAGCACATAGTGAATTCATCATTGTAACTGACTCATTACTGCCCCGCTCAACGTCAGCTCAGCATCAGCAAAAGTCCGTTCAGTGTTAGCCTTGTGTGGGGCACGATTTTGTTATTGTTTACATTGTCTCCCCTCAGTAATGTTTTTGTTTCATTTGGTTATGCTCCGATCTCATAGTTTTTTTATTTAGCCTTTCATATTTTCCTAATGCTGTCTTATGAGTGAATTTCCCAGAATTCAAACAGATCTCAGGACAGATCTGTATTTCGGCTGTCAGATTTTCTCTTCAGTATATACAGAAGCACAGAATATCACCAAATTAACTAAACGTAAGCATTTTTAAAAATTATCTTTTTTATTCATTTTTGAGAGACAGAGACAGAGTGCAAGGTGGGGGTGGGCAGAGAGAGGAGATCCAGAATCTGAAGCAGGCTCTGGGCTCTGAGCTATCAGCACAGAGCCCGACGCCGGACTCGAACTCATGAACCACGGGATCACAAGCTGAGCCGAAGTTGGACGCTCAGCCGACTAAGCCACCCAGGCGCCCCAACACAAGCATTTTTTGAGTGGCAAAATTCTGGTAACTACAGTGAGAATTGGAATAACCCAAGAGGCAGTCATGTTGCTTGTCTTCTGCTGCCTGTTGCCACGGGTGCAACAGCCAGAAACAACACATTGCTTCTCCCGAGTCTAGGCACGCCTTTGCTGGGTCCTCTGCTCAGGGTCTCACAGGGCTGTGGACAACCTGGTGGCTGGGCTGCATCTGCGTTTGGAGCTTGCCTGTCCCTCCATCCCGCCCCCAAGTTTCCACCTGCCTTCCAGCTATCCGGAGGTCTCTGCCAGACCAATGCAGTGAGCTCTGTGACAACATACAAAAGTTGGAGTTCCTCTTTGTCCACGCGCCAGTGTCCCGAGACGTGGCTTCTTCGTAGAAATGACGTCAAGTGGACGTGCACCCTTTACTCCTCATTCACGATTGGTTTCCTTCTCCGTGCTACGGACGGGCCCATACGCAGAGCGACTATCAGCTTATCGCTTAAACTCGGCAAGTGAAGGGTATTTTGATTAATCATTTTTCTAGAACAACAGGTATGATCCAGTCAATGTGGTTACCTGCCCCAGGGGTGTTGACATGACTTCTAGTCTGCTCAGGCATCTTCTGTGTCTCTGGAAAAGCGTGTAGTGTTCTATCTGACCACGTCCATCAGAATGCACCTCAGGAACACAGTCATGCTCATTACCAAGTACGTTGTCATGTACGCAGCACACACGTGATTTTTATTGAATAAAAAGTTGGGCTTCGTGGGGCGTCTGGGGGGCTCAGTGGGTCTGACTCTTGGTTTCAGCTCAGGTCATGATCTCATAGTCCGTTGTGACACTGAGCCCCAAGTCGGGCTCTGTGCTGGCAGCACGGAATCTGCTTGGGCTTCTCGCTCGCTCGCTCGCTCGCTCTCAGTCTCTGCCCCTTCCTGTGTGCACACGCTCTCTCTCTTCCTGTCTCTCTCACTCTCTCAAAATAAATAAGCATTAAAAAAATAAGTCGTGGGGCGCCTGGGTGGCTTGGTCGGTTAAGCGTCCAACTTTGGCTCAGGTCGTGATCTCACAGTCCGTGAGTTTGAGCCCCGCGTTGGGCTCTGTGCTGACCGCTCAGAGCCTGGAGCCTGTTTTGGATTCTGTGTCTCCCTCTCTCTGCCCCTCCCCTGTTCATGCTCTCTCTCTGTCTCAAAAATAAATAAATGTTAAAAAAAAAAAATTAAAAAAAAAATAAGTCAGATTTTGTTTCCATTATCTGTTGGCCCTGAATTTGTCCCCATCAGTGTGGTTTGTGCCTGACCCTCCCAGCCTTGTAAAGTACACCAACACTTCTTTCGTTTTTTTAATTTTTTGAAACATTCGTCCTGGATGCGTTTATATTGATATATGTTATTGCAAAGTTATAATTACCTTCATGGTTATAATGTCACATCACGGGTGTTATTTCTTTAGTTGTCTCAGCGAGATGCAGTGACACAAATACAGGCAGCGTTTCAACACTCTCTCCACTTTCTCCTGTCGTCTAACAGAGGGCGGCTCCCACATCGTAAAGACCTCGTCTCCGCGAGGTGAGGCTAAGATGAGCATAACCAGCGACGAGGTGAACTTCCTGGTGTATCGCTACCTCCAGGAGTCAGGTAAGAGGCTTGGGTGTCTGTCAGCAGGGGAGTCCTCTTCAACATGCCACGTGCAAGTCTGCCAACCGTTGGGCCGGAAAACCGGGCCGTAGGAAAAGAAGAGCCAACAAACGACGTTCTTATTAAGAGAGTTGAAAAAGAGAAGGCTCCGGGGCCGCCCCGTTCCCGGGATGGGGTGGGGAGCGCGTTCTTTTCTTCCCTTGGTATTTCTGTCCGGATGAGATCAGATTGGAGTTAAGGTCAAGAGCAGTTGGGATGGACATCGAGAGTGGGGTAGCGGACGGAGCAGCTATATGTTCATTTCAAATCCTAAAGATTTGATGAATCAAGCTCTCTTGGCTTCCTGCACGGTGAGGGCGTTTGTGGACTAGTCTGTCGTCACGATGTGTCTGTCTGTGAACCTCTCAGACTTGGAACCAGTGATCTGTTGAGCCCCTGAACCACTCCCCCAAATGGGCCGTTGTCAGTTTCCCAAAACGTAGGAGCAGTTCCGGTTTCTTCCAGCACTTCTGATTAGGACCAAGATGTTACTCGGCAGTAAGCAAAGACCGGGGCAGATACGTGTTCCCCGCGGACACAGTGGACCTTGTGAGTAGCGTCTGCTATCCTCCGGGAGTAGGGGAGGGGCTGACAAGCACCCGAGGCCCGGGGTCTGGCCTGGCTTTGTCACAGGCCAGCCACAGTCCTCTGAGGAGCCCTGTGATGCCTCAGAGCGTGGATCCCCCCCCATTCCTCGATGTCGCAGATGCCCCACACAGTGGAGCCTCACCACAGTGTCGTGGGCTGCTTGTGGGTGCTTTGTTTTGAATTCTCAAGAGTCTGAATTCTTCTTAAATTCACGTTATTAGGTTTTTAATGAATTTCTAAAATGAATATTGTCTTCCGAACTTTAAAACATTTCATTCGAGATGTACACGACGACGTTCGTGGAGGACATCCTACCCCTTCCGGTACGCGAGTTGGCGCCTGTGTGCGACCCTCCTCTGTCGTCCCCTCTCTCTCTTCAGTGGTAACTGCCCCTCCTGGTTTTTGCACTTGCCGTGTCTGCGATGGCTTCCTAAGTAGTGGGCGTACAGATGTATTAGTTTGCCGCGGCTGCTGTAACAAAGTACCACGGACCGGGGCAGCTTGAACAGAAATACGTTGTCTCACGTTTCTGGGGAACCAAAGTCCAAAATCAGGGTGTGGGCAGCCTCGGTTCCTTCTGAAGCCGCCGAGGGAGTCTGTTCCATGCCTGTCTCCCAGCTTCCGGTGGTTTGCTGGCCGTCTTTGCCTTTGTTGTCACACGGCCTCTCCCTGTGTACCTGCACCCCTGTCCAAATTGGTCAGATTTCTCCTTTCTGTAAATCTTCCTTCTGAGATTCTCTCCTTTTGGAAACAGCCGTCCTGGATTAGGGCCTCCCTGTAGTCCAATAAAAACCCATCTTAGTGGGGCGCCTGGGTGGTTCAGTCGGTTAGGCGTCCGACTTCAGCTCAGGTCACGATCTCGCGGTCCGTGAGTTCGAGCCCCACGTCAGGCTCTGGGCTGATGACTCGGAGCCTGGAGCCTGCTTCCGATTCTGTGTCTCCCTCTCTCTCTGCCCCTCCCCTGTTCATGCTCTGTCTCTCTCTGTCTCAAAAAAAAATAAAACGTTTAAAAAAAAAAAAATTTAAAACCCATCTTAGCATAACATCTGCAGCGACCGTGTTTCCGGATAAGGTCACTTTCTGAGGTGGACCAGGGCTTAGGACTAACTTAGGAATTTGGGGCGGGATCAGTTCAGCCCCTAACTCTTGGTTTTGCACGTGTTTGAGCCTTTTACGCTTGATATCCTATCGTTTACGTTCCGCAACTTGGTCTTTCAAGAAGGAAACCAGTTCCCGAGCCTCCACTTTCCAAAGACACACGGACAAGAGTGAGGGGCAAGCGGCATGTGAGCCCCTGGGTCCTGGCTCTTCCTCAGTCAGCCTGCAAGGTGTGGCATCCAGACCATGTGGCTCAGGCTCTGAGCCTTGAACAAGTTATTTACCCCCACGAGCGTCCCCTTCTGTGCAAAATTGGTTAACCTGGGCCATAGTACTGGAGTTCACTGGACACGTGGCATCATAGAACAAACCCCTCTCCCCGTCCAAGCCTGGATACCTGTGCCTGGGGACCCCAACTAGCACTTTCCATGGAAGGTGCACACTCTTTCTCCATGTAGATTGGGTCACTTGGAGTAGCTGGTCCCAGGCATAGTGTGACAGAAATTGATAAAACGTGTATGACCTCAGCCCTGGGGATTGGGGAAGTCACTAGTACTGATCTCCTACCTTATTGTGGGGCATTGCTCACCTGAGCACAGGTGCTCTCCTGTGACACAGCAGATACACTCTCAGAGCCATGTGCTTCCCTGTCGACTTCCACCATTGAATTCTGAATTCGAGATGCCTTTCTTTGGTTTTTTTTTTTTTTTAATTTTTAATGTATATTTCTTTTTGAGAGAGAGACAGAGCATGAGAAGGGGAGGGGCAGAGAAAAAGGAGACACAGAATCCGAAGCAGACTCCAGGCTCTGAGCTGTCAGCACAGAGCCCAACGTGGGGCTCGAACTCATGGACTGCGAGATCATGACCTGAGCCGAAGTCGGATGCTCAATCGACTGAGCCACCCAGGCGCCCC